CAGCTGGGCCAAGTATTCGAACTTCGGTGCCCCCCCTCCGTTCGGGTTAGGCACAGCGCCCTACGTGTTCACCAGAGGGATGAAACAGGTAGTGCTGCTGCTTCACCAGATGTCGGTACACCTCAATCCGTACCCAGACTACTGGTTACCAACAACCCGGGCAAGGGGTAATAGCCAAACGCATCAGGCTAATATAGGATTTACTTCACCAGTTGGGCTCGTTAGTAAATCGACAAGTCCCACCTCGAGCCAACGCGCAGTTGGTGTCCCTGGGCATGGAGTTTTGACACAGAGGTAAGCTTGGCTTAGCTATTTCAAGCATATTGCTTAGCGCTAAAGCAGCCTAGCCGAATGCCTAGTCAGCGTTCCCTCGGTGTCCCTCCGTGAACTAATGCGGATCATCGGAATGATGACCTCGGTTCGAAGGGTCGTTCCCCAGGCCGCACTACGCACACTTGTTATAACGCCGAGCTCTTCTATGGGAACTAGATAGGCGGGTTTCGATCTCGGACCAAGTGAAGGAAGCCCTGCTCTGGTGGTCGTTACTGACCAACCTCGGGCAGAGGGGCCCCCTTGGACCCGCTCGCCGCAGGTATGACTCTGGTAACAAATGCCTCCCCCCAGGGTTGGGGAGCGCATCTATTGGACGAACAAGCCCAAGGATATGGCTCCCGCATAGTTTTGGGACCACCATATCAACGGGCTCGAACTGTGAGCAGTGTACTTAGCACTACCACGCTTTCTACCCGTAGTTCGAGACCACAGAGTCCTGCTCCGCACAGACAACGCAGCGGTGGTCTCCTTTAAGAAGGAGGGGGGACGGTTTCCTCATCGTTGTCAGTCCTAGCGGAGCAAAATCCTTCTTTGGTGCCTGGAATATAATGGGGAGCTAACCGCACACCACCTTCCAGGGGTGAGGAACAGTCTGGCGACGCCCTTTCAGGGCGACTGTCTCCAGAACACGGAGTGGCTGATACCCCAGTGGGTAGCCTCCAGGCTGTTTCGGCTGTGGACGGTCCAAGGTTAGACCGTTTGCCGCACCCCGGAACACCAAG